ACGTCCCTGTAACTAACTGCATTTCCCTGGGCCATTTCCCTTGTCTTTGTCGAGTCCCAGCAGCCAGCCAGGAGCTCCTTCCTTGTTCCCCTGGTCCCTGCCAGCAACTACCTACCTTGGCCCTTGCAGCTCCTACAACCAGCCAGGAGTACCTTCCTTGCTCCCCCTGTGTTAAAGTATTATTCAAAAAACTTTGATTTTTAAACAATGTCTTGAATATATATCTATATAATTGTTCTAGGTTTGTCATGTTTAGTATCATGGTGTTCGTGCGAGAAAGGACTTTTGAATGATATCCAACTCGATCTATTTCTGATGCCATTGTATTATCAAAATTTCCACCAACTGGAGGACCTGGAGCTGGGGGCTGGGAGGAGGGGCAGCAAGTCCCTCCTGCCATGCCACAGAGGGGTGACACCCCTGAAGTTATGAGTCTTACAGGTCAAATGTCACCTCCCTTACCTTTCTATCGTTAACTTGCCCACAGAATTACACATGTTCCCAGACTACTACAAACCAGATAATGGCTCAGATTAGACAGAGTGGTGAGTGTTGGCCTCCAGCTAATGAGTGGATTGTAATATGTAAGAAGCCAAGCTAGAAAATGACGCTACTTTGAGCTAGAGCTACACAGCCCTGATGATCTCAGTCCTTGTCTGCACTGCGGATCTGCCAGGGATGCAACCATCATTGCCAGTCACCAAGATAGCAGCACCAGCAGAAGCCCCCAGTCTAGACAAGGAAAGCTGTGATTGGCACTAGCTGAGCTAAGCTAAGTTTCAAGCAGAGATAGGTTCCATGTATGTAAACTTCCGCTTTCCTTGTCTACACTGGACATTTGCACCAGTGCAGTTACACTAAAGGCTGCAATGGGGGTAATTCCACGGTGTACAAGGCCTCAGTCTCTTACAATATTATTACAACTGGTTTGTGACTTGTCCCTTTAATTTGATAACTGACGAGGGCCAGAGATTCCCTCTGTAGTTTCATCTGGCTATGATATATTATTCTTCACTTCCCACCCACAGCTGTTGTGCTTGGTAATGTTACCGTGCCCTGTTAAACAGCTGTGAAGGGACTCCTGTCTTCATACAAAAGAATGCACATACCCTCTTTTGGGATGAGAGTCGCTATATAAATGTAAGTTATTCTATTAGCTTAGGGCTGCCATTAATGTATTCAGAGTTTTAGGCTCTGTATGGCTCCATGTCTGTTCTTTTCTTATGTCAGGTAGTGACATTGATAGGTTAAAATAACTTGTGATTTGAGTAATTCTATGACTCAGCAATTTCTGGGGAGCTCAGTGGAAATCTAGCCGTGCAGAGGAGCATGGTGCAAGCACTCCTTGCATGACCATATTCATTATGATTCAGATTTCTAGTTAGCAGTGCACAGTAGCACTGAGACGGAGGCAGAATAGAAGCAGTTTGTGGGGATATCAAAGGGATACATTTTATATTTCAGTTTCATAGCAGTTTAACTGGAAATGAATTTCCTGGGCAATCTAAATTACTTGCAAAATTGTACATCTTAAAGAACTAATAAAAAATGTTACTGAAAGTAGGTTGTCCTTTTTTTGTTTTTTTAAGCAACTTGGGAAGTGGTGGGATGATGGTGGATGGAAATAAAAGTAATGTCCTCATTTCCAGCAGCTATGTTATATTAGCTTGTGTCTGGATATAAGATTAGTATTTTGTTGTATGACATTAAAAAGTTTGGAGGGATACTAGAAAACCAATTTTTTTATTAAGAGATAAATTCAACGGCACAAGCAAACTGAAGACCTAAGTCTGTGGGCCTGACTCTCTGCTGCTTTCATTTACACTTGTGCAAAGTTAGTGTGAAATAGCACCATTCACATTTGATAGCATTTCTTCCCCCACTTCGCCCAAGTGTCAAGGGCTATGCAAGGTGCAAGGCAGTGGAGAATCAGACTCCATGCTGCATTTCTGACAGGGAGGCTCCATCTCCAGGGAGGAGAAGGTGGTTCCTTGAAATGCCATCACCAGCCTGGAGACACAGCTGACATACTTAGCAATGCTCCTGTTTTATTATGATTCACCAGAGGTCCCTGTCAACCTGGAACATTTGTAATAGGGTGTTTGATTACCCTAGCCAAGGGAGCAGCAAAGGAAGAAGCCATGACTCCTTGTCCCTGCACTGATCCAGGGTATGTCTACACAGTAGCTAGGAGGTGTAGTTCCCAGCGCTGGCAGACACACATATGCAGGGCTGGCTCCAGGCACCAGCCCAGCAAGCAGGTGCTTAGGGCGGCCAAGGGGAAGGGGCGGCACGTCGGGCTGTTCGGCGGCAATTCGGCGGTGGGTCCCTCTCAGAGGGAAGCACCTGCCGCCGAATTCCTGCCGAAGAAGAAAGCGGTGCGGTGGAGCTGCCGCTGGAGTGCTGCCGATCGCAATTGCGATCGCAGTATATATATATTTTTTCCGCTTGGGGCGCCACACCGCCACAGCCTCACTGCTATTTTTAGGCTCTAGCAGAGCTAATGAACATATGTCTACATGAGCTGGGAATTGTACCTCCCAGCCGCTGTGAGGACATACTCTTCGTCAAGGCTAGAAGGAACATGGAAGTCTAGGCCTAAGTTACTACATATTAAATGCAACTTGGTTGTGAAAGGAAGTTCTAGTAACAACATTACAAGTATCTCAAGACCCATTAAAATAGCTATAGCAAACCGAATAGATTAATCAAGCTAAGAGTGTCCTAAACTGCTAGGCTTAAAGCAGAACAGGACCTGGAGATTTATCCAGGTCACCTGTACACGGAGCACAGATTATTGCCTTGTTCATTTTTCTGATCGGTGAACATCCTACCATCCTCTGGCTCCCATGCTGCCGTGGCTGGAGGAGAGCTGTTCGCATACTTGGCCAAAATGACTGCACTAATGGAATAATACAACAAACTTAATGTTGAAAATCTATTTACCATTCAGTTGTTTCTGCCCACATTTAAATAGCTGATTGTTTTGCTTAAATTCTCTCTCTCCAGCTTTTTTCCATGTCATCATAACTCTCCTGGAACACTAGAAACATGAGCCGATCATTCTATATAGTAGCACCCAAATGCTAGTCTGTTCCTTGGCCCAAGCGGATCTCAGGGGATCTGCCAGAAATCAAGGCCACACTGGGTCAGACCAAAGGTCCACCTAGCCCAGTATCCTGCCTTCCGACAGTAACCAATACCAGGTGCCCCAGAGGAAATGAACAGAACAGATAAAAGAAAGTGTGGCCCCTGGCTTCTGCATTGCTGGCCGGCTCTCTGGCTTCATGCAGTGCCAGGCAGTATGGGAGGATTCCACAGCACAGAGAGCAGTGCTTAACTTGTAATGAAAGAGGTGCCGGGGCTCAAGTAATTTTTTTACTTTCATAACCGATGCTGCAAGCCCAGAGGTCCCAGGGCTCTGAACTACCTGACCCAGAGGTCCCGGGGCTCTGAACTGCCTGACCCAGAGGTCCTGGGGCTCTGAACTGCCAGGCCCAGAGGTGCCTGGGGCTCTGAACTGCCAGGCCCTGGCACAAATTAAGCCATGATAGAGGGGGAACCTGTGCTAGTTATTGCAGACTCAGTCTGCAGTAACTTGCTTCCATTTGCCCTATGAGCTTTGGGTGAAAAAGTGTGACCAGCCCTATCTCTGTTCTCCCCCTCCCTACTTGCCCAGAACAGAATCCCACAGAACAATCACCAAGTAACTCTGGTGGGGAAGGGGTTCCATGCCAGCAGCACCCCCTCTTTCCATTCACCCCCTGCTCGCCACAGCTGGGATCCACAGCTTTCAGTCCCTTCTCGCATTCTTTCCTCCTCTCCAATTTTGTTTAGTCACCTGTGCACAAACTAAACAAGTAACAAGTACAGCTAGGTGTCTGACACTCCACCTCCATTCGGTCTCTCTTCTCTGTTTACATTGATACAATTGCTCTGGCCTATTTTACCGTTCTTCCAGTCCTTATAATTCCCAAATATTTGCTCCTGTTTTCTACAATTCATGTGTTGAATTAAATATACAAAAGTAGTATTGTTTTCAGAGGAGTTCTTCTAGGGAGTTCCAGTACAAAGCATAAATTAGGGTTTAAATTGGCACATAAATGGCGTGGTATTTTTTCCACACAGCACACAGTCAACCTGTGGAATTCCTTGCCAGAGGATGTTAGGAAGGCCAAGACTATAACAGGGGTCAAAACAGAACTAGATAATTTCATGGAAGGTAGGTCCATCAATGGCTATTGGCCAGGATGGGCAGGAATGGTGTCCCTAGCCTCTGTTTGCCAGAAGCTGGGAATGAGCGACAGGGAATGGATCACTTGATGATTACCTGTTCTGTTCATTTCCTCTGGGGCACCTGGTATTGCTTACTGTCGGAAGACAGGATACTGGGCTAGATGGACCTTTGGTCTGACCCAGTATGGCTGTTCTTATCATCTTAATACTTGCACACTGCACTGGGGTGAATTTCACTCCATAATGAAAGGATGGAGCAGATGAAAATCTGTAATGATACAAGATGGCAAATTAGAAGTCTAACTCCCCATTCCCTGACACCAGTGGGTATTTCGCATGCACAAGGACTTCAGCATCAGGCACTGGGAAAAGATGCAGGAAACAACTAATGATTGACAGTACAGTTGCTAAGGTACAAAAGCCAAATTCCTTGTTGCCAAGAGCACCTGCCAGGTGTGGGAGCAGAGCACGAAGCAGCTGATGTTATTCCAAGGGAGATCTCTAGCCAGTAGAATGTGATGTGCACAAAGCCATTCTTTATGGAATGGCCTGGAGCCAACACCGGACATTCTGAACAAGCCACTTTACCTTCATGCCCAACATGTAGTTCCCTACAGCTGAGGCCATTTTTCCTCACTGAATTAAAAAATAATTTGAGGGCAAAGGGTAGCCATAAACCGAGCTGTTCTCAAGCTGTAACAGAAATTACAAGCAGGGTTCCAAAGGGATGAATATTTAATGAACCTCTGTCTATGTTTTATTAGAGAAATGGGCCCCGGTCTGCAGTATCCTCCTTTGGCTGGCAGATTTGAGGAGGCAATGGATGCACAAGTGCCATTCTTCCCCAGGCCTGTTTCCAAGCCACTCCCCTGTGCTCTGCGGCTTCTTGTGGAGTGAACTGCCTGTGCTGATTCACACCTGCAGTGGAAATGTTCCAGCCCCCGGACCTCTGAATGGGAAGTTTTTCAATATTTCTGTTTATCCTCATTCAGTGTGTGTGGTCCCATGTATTATTTAACGCACACTAACCAAACCCTGCCCTGAATACATTATTAATTTCCTCCCGGGCATTTCTATGGTGATCTCATTATGGTGTCTGAGTGCACCACAAGCTTTAATAAACTTATCTTCATAAGACCCTGTGCGATTAGGTGAGGTTCTTCACCACAGAGAAGGAGAATAAAACAGAAGAGGGCATTTTTGTCATATTTTTTGCAGTTGAAAAATGAGCGATGCAGCCTAGAAAAGTGTCTTCTTCAGTGATCAGTTCTGTGAGCAACTCTAACATTACTTCTCCTTTTGCTTTATTGCACTTGAGTTTGCTAGGCACCCTAGACGTCTGCTGAAGTTAATTGTGGTTTTAGGTGCCCCAGGGATGAGCCATAGGGAGGCATAAGTACAGACTCATGTTCTCCTAGCTAATCTTAGAGTGGTTTGGGGGAAGGCGGTATGCTACTGTAATAGCTCTGTAGTCAAAGCTTTGTGTCTAGCTTTCAGAATAGTATTTTTCATTGGCAAGGTCCATTCATAGAGAGTAAAATCTCAGTTGTTCACATACACAGTAATGACTTTTGCTGTTGTTGAGCAGTACTACCTGCATAATTAAAATAATATCATAGATAATATCTACACAGACATTTTTCCGTTTAGTAAGCTCTATATTTTAATGCAGAAACAGATTCTGTAATGAAATCTTTATGCTCCTGTGTAGCATATGAGCTCCACAAGAGGGAGCCTGTCACCTGTGGTGATTGTAATCATTGCAAGAGCAAACTTTGGGGCTACAGGTTCTGGTGGTGACAGAAAATTTCTGTCTATGGAGCTTGCAAACTCCAAGAGCATTGCCAGTTCTGCATGTAAGTTCTTCAAGTCTGCTAGCTCTACAGCCCAACCTTTGGCTGCCGCCGTAGAGAGCTCAGCATGGCTCAGAAGTAGGATGCAAAGGTGAGTCTTGCTTGTCAAGAATCACAGAAAAGTCTTCTCCAGATCAGGAGTGTCTAAATGGTATAGGCTAGGAATCCTTGCTGACCTGCAGAGCCTTCTTTCATGCTGCTGTAACATAAGGATTTTTGAAATGCTTGGCAGGAACGTCACAGCAGAGTTTGGTGTCTCTTTATGTTGGGTTGGAGCCCAGTGCTTCGGCTGATGGGTGCTGGCAGGATACGTTTCCCTCAAATAAGTAAACCTGTAGTCCAAGCATACAATGGACAGCTTAGCTTTCATGTCAAAAAGTGTTGGAATTCTGAGTTATGAATGTTAAAAATATAGGGCAGACATTAACATCACCATAAATTCTTTTATGAAATCCAAAGCCCAAATGCTATTCATACTATTGCTCTAAACATGTATACAAGCCTAACCATTAAGCATTTACAACACCCAGACCGTAACAAAACAGTTACAAATTTATGATCATTTATACTCACAGTTTGAACAGACCAGAGAAGAGTCCTTTAATCCCGGCTCGCCCCAATGTGATTGGACTGGATCCGATGAACAAACTCAAATGTATGGCTCTTCAGCAAACAAAATTGCTAGTGTCAATAAAACCCAGTCAGGGACAGTTCATCCTTGCTACTTTTCTTTTTCTAAGGCCTCCTCCTCCTCCCACCTTTCTTATCAGTTTTTCTTCTGTTGCCCTTTTCTTCACATGGCCTCAGTTTCAAGAAAACAGTGGCGCGTGGGAAGGTTCGTGCTTATTTTTTACAAGACAGTTTTTCTTTGGCTTGTAGCTACAGCCTCCTCTCATTGAGAGAAAACTTTCCTGTATTTTATTAGTTACTTTTTAAACCACACATCCTTCCCATTACATTCTGGTCTTCTAACTCATTGTTCTCATGGCCTTCCCGTGCTTGCTGATTAGGACCTTTTTCTACTTACCACCACAAACTAGAAAGCAAACAGATAATTTTCTTAACCAAAATTAAGCTACCTTTAATTCTTCCATTCCATAACTATCCCACAGAGAGCTTAGGGGTATGAGTGGTTTCTAGGGTCTGCTCCTCTCGATGATCCTCTGTGGGAACAAGAAGTTCATGGTGAATCTTGAGTCCTCTGCCTCCTCTGGATTGTGAGGGGCAGGGCTGTGAGAGACTGGGGGAGCTTACTCAGTGGGCAGGGCAGCTTGGGGAGGGAGAATTGGGAAGTTCAGTCTCTTGAAGTGGAACAGCGAGGGTCTGCAGATACAGAGGTTTCTTCTGAGCATGGACAGATGCTTGATGGAGCAGAGATGCTCTCAGCTTCCAATGCCTCACTGTGATCTTCCATGGTTGACCTGTCCTTGGGCATAAGAGTCCAGAACAAATATCAAGCAGATGGAGTGGCAGGGGATAACCATTGACCACATCTACTGGAGGGAGTATGCTTCCACATGGCCTGTCTTAGATATGGCAAGGGAATACAATCAGAGAAGGGAGGAGTATATCAGCCGTTTTTATAATTCAGCCATTACTTTTAGGATGAAGAATTAGCTCCCCATTTCCAATGGAATTTTATTTTTTAGTTATGACAAAATCACCTCAAAACTGAGAGGTTTGTTTGTATATTTGATTACTGGTAGTGGCACTCAATTTACCAAACTGGGGTTTCACCAGTAAATGAGTTTTATAGATTCTAGGACTGGAAGGGACCTCGAGAGGTCATCGAGTCCAGTCCCCTGCCCACATGGCAGGACCAAATACTGTCTAGACCATCCCTGATAGACATTTATCTAACTTACTCTTAAATATCTCCAGAGATGGAGATTCTACAACCTCCCTAGGCAATTTATTCCAGTGTTTAACCACCCTGACAGTTAGGAACTTTTTCCTAATGTCCAACCTAGACCTCCCTTGCTGCAGTTTAAAACCATTGCTTCTTGTTCTATCCTTAGAGGCTAAGGTGAACAAGTTTTCTCCCTCCTTCTTATGACACCCTTTTAAATACCTGAAAACTGCTATCATGTCCCCTCTCAGTCTTCTCTTTTCCAAACTAAACAAACCCAATTCTTTCAGCCTTCCTTCATAGGTCATGTTCTCAAGACCTTTAATCATTCTTGTTGCTCTTCTCTGGACTCTTTCCAATTTCTCTACATCTTTTTTAAAATGCGGTGCCCAGAATTGGACACAATACTCCAGCTGAGGCCTAACCAGAGCAGAGTAGAGCGGAAGAATGACTTCTCGTGTCTTGCTCACAACACACCTGTTAATACATCCCAGAATCATGTTTGCTTTTTTTGCAACAGCATCACACTGTTTACTCATATTTAGCTTGTGGTCCACTATAACCTCTAGATCCCTTTCTGATGGTAACAGTCTTCAAGTACATAAAAGATTGTTATGAAGAGGAGGGTGATAAATTGTTCTCCTTGACCACCTAGGACAGAACAAGAATCAATGGGCTTAAATTTCAGCAAGGGCGATT